TAATCGTATTGTATCCAATCGTTACCGACATTTATTATCCAGTTCGAAGTCATGTATGGTATTATATGATAATATTAACCATACTACCAATGATTGCTGTTCAAGGTGCCAGCTATATAATTTCCATAGTGTTTGGACGTAATCCATTGAATCTTTACATTTCAATTCCATGTGTAATGCTTATATCGATTATTTCCATATTAACTCCACATTCCTTATCACATTTTGCATTTAAATTGATAACAACTTTCAATCTTTTTCGCTATCAATCCGAAGCAATGTTGTTTTTAGTATATGGTTTTGGTCGATGTGGTCATAGAGAAATTCAAGTGGTATTGTATAGAATTGGTTTGATTCATGATGAACGTTACTATTACGTTATCATAATGACAGCCGTCAATGCAATATTATTTCAATCAATTGCCATATTATTATTTTGTCTATATAATAATCCATTTCAAGATCGACGTAAACGTGTTAAACGTATTGAATATCTAAATCAACGACAATTACCATCAAAAGTCATTATACCTGGCCTTACTTGTTCGAATGATTTTGTTATTCGAAAAATTCAAGTTTAATTTCCTGAAAATTTATTTTTTTTTTCAGAGAAAAAAAATTTTTACGGAGAAACAAAATTTGATGAACATATTGCCTTGATTGTCGATATGATTTGTTATCATCAAAAGAAAAAAATTATCATCATCATGATCAAAATTGAATAAATTTAATTTTTTCTGTTGTTTATTACAAAATGATTTTTCTTTTCTGTTCGAAGAATTTTTAAAAAATGTTCATGGATAAAGGGGATATTTGTCATTAAAAATTTTATCAATTTTGTTTGAAACGAAAAAGAGCAAGAACAAAATACATCAATAAATTTTGTTTGAAAAATAAAAACATTTCTGAGGTAAAAAAAACTTAAAAATAGCTTCTCCTTTCTGATGAAAATAAAGGGTTAATCAAAAATTTTTTTTTCTATCATTTTTCGAATCGATTTTTTTTTCCTTGGAATTCACCTTTTTTTTCAACGTAGAAGCCATTTGGGTAGAAAGAATACGAATGGTTATTATATCATATATAAACAAGTGTAAACATGATAAAATTTTTTCAAATGAATGATTATGAAAATAAAAATTTTGCAAGAATTTCTTTTTGATCAACAATGAATTCGATAGAATGTGATGAATTTTCTTCAACAAATTTTAACATTAGTGATCAGAATCATCATAATGATAATGTTTCGATTGTATGGAAAAATCTTCGTTATGAAGTGAACAGTTGGCTAAAAGGAAGAAAAA